CACACACACACACACACACACACACACACACACACACACACACACACACACACACACACACACACACACACACACACACACCTCCATCCTGACATGTGATGCAGGGAGCACAGCAGGGGTTTAAATGGAGACCAGCTGGTGGAGGAATGTCTCTCATACTTAAGAGGATGGATGACTTAAATACTCACTCTTTCATTTGACTCCATTGAATAATCATCAGTTATCACATATTAGTTCATGGTTTTCCATTGAGCATAATAGATAGAAAGGGCAGTCGGTCTGCTATGATGCTGAACCTATGAACCGACTCTCTGTGAAACTCCCCTGTTAGTTATATAAAACACACACGCACAGTTAACCCCGAGGGCTGACTGCTCTCCTCTCAGCTGCCAACAGTGGAGCTCACAGCGGTTCTGCTGCCCTCCACCCTAGTTTATTTACCAGGAAGCAGCCGGGCTTCACAGACCTCAACCAAAGCAGGACTGTATCCTCTTCATGTTTCTGTCGGCGGTACAAAGAGGGGTGTATGGGCTGGCCAAAAAAAAAAAAAGAAGAGAGAGATCCACCCACGATCTCTATTCGAAGGGCAGCTCAGTTTCGATGGCAGACGTCTGTGCACTGCTAATGTGTGGTCTGATGCCAATCTGACAAAAGGCTGTAATAACGGTTAATTTTCTTTCAGATCCTCCAATAGTTGTTTCCTCAGCCGTTTCCCTGATTTAATTTTATTCTGTTTTTTTCTGAAGTCATGTGAAGTTTAATCTGTCTCTTCTCAAATGTTGATAACTGACTGCTGGAGGGAATGAGAACCAAAACACTCAAATGAATGATTAAAAACAATAAGAATGTAATCTCCAGTTCGGACCACCCAAGAAAGAATACAAAAACCCACTAGGGTTCCCACTAATCTGCCCCACTGAGCAATTTTAGTTTGAATGGATCCGGATGTGGCAACACACGCTTTAACAGTGAACTTTCAAACTTCACACATATTTGCATGGTTCATTTTACCTCGATGAATACCACTAATTCATGAGCCGACAGAGGGGAAAAGGTGCTCTGAATGGCCATGTGAGCTGACCCGCTTCCAACGAAGGGAAAGAGACTCGTTCACACAAAGTTGAAAGAGCATGTAGCATTAAAGTCCTGCTGTTGGAAACAACAGAAGCAAGTTTAGTGTCAGTGCCAGTAAACGAGTCTGCAACAGATAGAAAATAATACCACAGCTGTCAGTGATAATAAAGACTAATAGCCTGCACACAGGTGCAAAATAGGGTAAGCTCGAGAGAGAGAGAGCTAGTATCATCATTAGCATTTAGTGATCAGGCAGTACAGGAACAAAAAAATGTACGAGATGCAGCAGAAATGAAATGAAACCTGCTGGTAGAGCTCATGCTCCATGAGACGAGTTCCTTCTCCTTTGTTTCTTTCTCTCACAGTTAATCTTTTTTCTTTACAATATCATCGCAGAGATAAAGACAGGATGCCGGAGGATCATACATTTTATAGTTTGCAATGACTTCTGATTACCCTGCTGATTTTTGTGCACGGACTCCCGTATGTGCACCCGTGCTGCTCTAACTGCTCTGTGTGCTTGTTTTCCAGATGAGGAGACTCCTGGCCTGTACGGCTTTCTGCATGTGATTGTCCACTCTGCCAAAGGATTCGAGCAGTCAGCCAGTAAGTCTGCCAGAAACAGCTTCTTTTTTTTTTTCTTCCTCTAACTGCACTTGTGCGCACACTCCGGCTCAGCATCTGCTTACACATAGCGGCTGCGCATATACTTGTCTGCCAGCAAAACACATGACCCAGTCAATCATCACAGCCGGCACATGCAGTTTCCATCATCACATGGCCAAGATGCAAAGGAAGGAAAAATCAAGAGAGAGAGGGAGAGAATGAGGTTGTCTCAGAGGAAGCGTTGAAGCCAAAGTGGGATTCCTGCGGTTGTTTTCGTTAAGCAGACATCACAAGTGACAAAGATGCTGAAGGCACATTGAAAAGGAGGAACGTCAAAATCACAAACAGCAGCATTCAGAAGTGGACAGCTGGCAATTGTAATACCACTCGTCTTTGTTCACACACTATGCTATTGCCTTACCTTGCACAAATGTTTCTTTGTATAGCTGTGTGCGTGTGTGTTATCTACCGAGCTTGACGTTGGCTGAACCTCCACAAAGGCTGTTTCAGATGTGTCAGCGGTGGACAGCTGGTGCTCCGGTACACTTCGTGCCCCGCGTTGCTCAAGCACCAGTTCAAATATCGAATATCAGAAGAAGAGATGGAGAGGGAGAAATGATTTCCTCAGTTACCATGACAGCCTTCAGTGCTGGCCCACAAGAATTTCCCAGTTAATGGATTGGAAAGCACTCTCTCCTGAAAGCCTGTTTGATCCTCAATGGAGCGCAGAGAGCTAAAGGCTTTATGGAGTGTGTGTGTGTGTGTGTGTGGAAGCAACTTTGGTAGTTTCACTGATACAGTTTTGATGTTGGTATCTCCAGTGGAGCGTACAGACCCAGGGTGGGGCATGCAAGCCGTGGAGGCATGGAGGATGTGCTGGACTTGTTTGGGACCGTGGTGTTCATGATGATGATGAGGGAGGTTTACGGGGATGCCGTGAGAGAAGTGCTGACCTTGATGATATATAACACTACTGTTACACAGACAAGTGTTCTAAATGAGGACAAGAGTCGAATTATTAATTATCAGATTTAATTATTGGAGTTAAAGTGAAGCTTGAGCCATCCATAACTTATATCTGATTTCATTCATTCGTACAGGTCCTCTAATGTGTGTTTACACAGGTTTAATGCCTTTTACTTGTGGTAGATAAATGGGTGGGTGGTCACTGTTTATATGTGTGTGTGTGAGTCACTGAAGTAAATTTAACTACTATACCTGATGATGTATTTCCAGTGGCATGTGTTCATTATTCATATTTTATTTTGTAAGGTTTATTGCTGTGATTTCAGGATTAGGCAATCTCTTCAGTATGGTTATACCAATCTTTTAATACTATATAGGTTAGTTCAAAAGTCTAGTTTTGAACTGCTGTGGGTTCTGAGTCTCCATGTAAACAAAAACGCCTTTAAATGTAGGGACTGTGACTAGTAAAGGGAGGGAGGTGACTGATATGATGGAGAGAAGGAATGAGCCGTTTGGAGGGAGAGGGTGAGATGGAGGCAAATGATTCGCTGTGGTGACCCCTAAAGGAAGCAGTCGACAAAAGAAGAATGAGGAAAGTGTGTCTGCTATCATACTCTGCCCTGCAAAACAAAAACAGTCACATGCTCCAAAATCTCCCCAGATCGCCTGTAACATTCGAGTCCCTAATAAACTTTGGCAATGTCACAACGTTTGTTTCCATTCAGAGTTTTGCATTGATGATGGGAGAACATGAAGTCTTACATAATACTTCCCAAAAAATCTCAATGGGGTTGAGGTCTGGACTCTGCGGTGGCCGGTGCATGTAAGAAAATGAGGTCTCCTTAACCACTCTTTCACAATTTGAGCACGATGAATTCTTGTATTGTGTTCTTGAAATATTCCTGTACTGTCAGAGGATAAAGATGGAAAAATCTGGTCATGCAGTGTATCCAGGTGAAGCTGGACCTGACCAACTGAAGCACCCCACATCAAAATACATCCCCCACAGACTTAGTAGAAGAAGGCATGATGGATGCATCATTTCATCCACCTCTCTTCTTGTCGTCCATCAGTCTGGAGCGGGGTTCATTTTATAGAAAAGGCTTAACTGCACTAAAGGTTAAGTGATCAATCCAGCAACAACAGTTTTATTTAATTTGAAAGTTCAACAAAAGAAATCAAATAATAGCTCAAATTAAATAAACCCTTAGTAATATAATACACCCCTTTTATGGTGACTATGTCTGACTAACATCAAGACGGTACATCTTTGCCAATTGCTTCCTATAGCTTTATTTAATATTCATGTTTAGTTTTTAAAACCTGTCCAGCATCGGCACAGTTTCTCTGGGGTTTCAAACACATACAGAGATCACTGAGACACACTGTATTCCTCTGCTTGTAGAATTTCCTCCAATACCACAAATGACTAAAATTACAAAGCCCCCTCCAGATGTAGCTTAATGATGGGATTCGGTTTGTGTACAGGTTTTGTGTGGCGATGTTCCAGCCTGTGTTAAAGCTTCAGCGCGGTTCCTGTTGCGTTGTCAGTACTCTACTTTATCGTCTCTGGCATTTCAGATTTCAACGTGCGAGGATTTTGCAGCAATTTCCTCTTTTGCATAATCGTGTGTGCGCATGTGGTTTCTGTTATTGCAAATGGTGATTATTTTCATATTAGAATGGAAATGTGTAATGATCTGAAACAGCAGTCATTATTCACTGTGTCAGGTTAAGTGGGCACTGAATGCTCCACAGTAGGCTTTCTCTTTCCCCCTCCCCCTCCTTTTTTTTTTTTTTTTTTTTTAAAATCAAAAAAATCAAGTAAGCATGTAGTCGAAGATTTTACTGAAGCTGTTATTTATGCCACTACAATCTTCCCCCAGTGGGAAAGGGCTTGGAAGCGCAGCCCACGGCAAAGTTAGTCAAACTGGGTCACAGAGGGAAAAGCTGGGAGTTGAGCGTCTCCCAAAAACTCAGATAGAAAAAAAAATCTATGGAAATACTGACCTAGATGAGAAGCAAAAAACATGTCATGTCATTTTATTCTTGCTTTATTTTTATTTGTTTGTATGTGTGAGTGTTCGCATGTCGTTCCCTTCAGAAAGATGCAACAGTTAGCTCAATACACACCTATAGAACTGCACTTTCTGCATAAGGTGGGGGCACAGATCCACATTAGAAGATGAGAGAAAGGTGCATTTTTAAATTTTATTTTATGGTCACTGCACAGTTAAAGCACCTACTTGGCATTTTTTAAAATTTTTGTTTCGTTTTGACGTTTTTGCTTTTCGACGTTTTTCCTGTAAGGCTCAAATTCAAACCACTGCTGAAAGTGTTCACACGTTCTCAAGACTGTATTTCTGTGTAATCCAATCCAGCCATGGCTGCATGTATTCTCTATGTCAGGCTTTTATTACTTTTCTTCTTCTGGGTTCTGTTTAAACAGTTGAATTATGGCATTTCCCTGCTTATTATGTTTTGTAGTCTGAGAAGAATATTTTGTCCTGAAGCAGCGGTTTTGGTGACTGTGATCTGTAGCTGCTGAGACACTAGTTAGTTGAACTGATTATCACGTGTCTCCTGATTCTGTGAACCAACAGTTTGAACCAGCATTCGGCGCAGCCTCGGGCAAAGATTAGCCTGCTGTATAAGAACATACGCGCCCCACAAGGGCTACAGCCCACAGCTAATTGAGATGGAAAAGGATGGTATCCATTAACCTTGTATTTAGGGGTCAGAGACCCCATGCTGACCAATAAATCCCCCTCATACTCTGAGCCTGGTGGCGACCTGCCAGAAAAATGAAAACTCCAGGCCTCTTTTAGTCTGTCCTACTTCTCAAAGCCCTCTTGGATCCACTGTGAGGACACAAAGACCTCTCAAAATATGCTCTCCATGGCCTTGTTTGAATTTTAGGTCTGGGCACATAAACCCATTTCAGCTGGAGAGGAAATCAACTTCCAGAGAAAACTGGGAGCTGCTCAGGACTATGTATACGCTTCTCTACTCCAGGGCTAGATGAAACGAAGAGGATTAAATCACATTAGAGTTGCACACAAAGAACCGGTTGAATCGCTCATTGCAACCATCAGAATGTTGCCGCCTCTTTAATGAAGCAGACTGTGACAGGTAGTTTAAGGATTTTTCCAGATGTCCAATCAGAAGTGACAGCCGTGAGCTGTTATGCTTCCGTACATAGCGGAAGCGTGCAATAACTGCTTCATGGTTTTTTTTAAAATATCCCCCAGATGGTCGCACTGAATTCCCCTTCATTGAACTTCCCTCGTACCACCACCGCTAATCTCTTCCTAACTGGGAGTGATTATGGCAAAACCTTTTAGGATGCTGAGAAAACAAACAAAGGGGGAATAAAACCAGATGGGACGACATTCCTTTATACTGTACGCTCCTTTTTATCCTATAGATACATGTGCAAACGTTTTCTCCAGTCGCAGCTCATCCAGGTGATGTGGTTGGTATCCTCTCATAACCCGGCTCGTGTCAGGCTCTTAAATCTTGTGATCGTGATGATGACTTTGCTTTTGACTTTTTTTTTTTTTGGGTTAAATTAATGTCTTTTTTATTTTATTGCATATGTAATTAAACCCACTCCCCTGCCGTTCAGCTCTCTTGCTTAATCTTAGTGACTGTCCCGGTGAAAGGTCGAACCACTCACCCATCCATCATGCTGTCTAGTGGAAGTTAACCCGAGGGGTTAAGTCCAACATAGGGGATGTAGTGGAGACGCTTTACAGACAGCTGGTAGCACAGTCTGCAGGAATGGTTTCAGGAGCATTTAAAGAAACACATTAACAGACTTAATTGCTCTGTGTAAGAGCTGAGTGTGAGCTGATCCCAGAGGAGGGAAGCGGGGCGGGATACTGCTGCGGTATGAGGATGTTAAGAGTGGCGAGGGGCTGCCGGTGCTGATTGTGTACACAGAGAGGAGATTGATGCCTGTCTGCTGTCAAACGGTAGCATATTGACAAATTGGAGGGCTTTTTTCACCTTTTAATTGCACATTTGTTAGAAATCTGTGAAATCAGTCTTTAGAAGTGATACTTTTATACATGTTTGCACTTTTGGCTGTGCTCTTATGGTGATTCCAACATTCACTGTTCACAGCTTCCCTCATATTTAGTTGTTTTCTTTCTTTTCATAAGACAAGTCTTGTGTCTTGAGTTTTTTAATGGATTTTTGGCTGTTGGTTATTATGTTAACACATCATCATGGCTTCAAGGGAAAATATTTTATTTTATTTATTTTTTTGAAGGCTCAAAAATGTATATTTAAATATCAGGCAGTTCCATTGGAGGATTGATGCTATATATATTTGACCTTTTCCAGTAAATCAATCAGTCGCAGTGCAAAAAGAATCCACGTCTTTCATTGGAAGCTGGTCTGGCCAAAATCATCCCTAAGATGCTCGGAGAGTGAAAGTGTCTGTATATTGTGTGCTTTACGTCTTATGTTCATGTGATTGTTTTTATATGGTGCTTTGAAATGTCAAGTATCTTCTGCTGCTATCAAATTTCCACACAGGGAACGATAAATGTATCTGTCCAACACCCGTCTGCGGCAGTTAAACATGTGTAACAGCATGTTTTAGTCATTTTTAAACATCTACAATATGTTTGATCTTCTTTTTTTTTTTTTAAGTGTTCTCCAGTGCTTCACATTTTGTCTGTCATACTCTGTTGTTGTTTCATCTCACCGACCTGTCTACTCTCTGTGCTTTCAGATCTATACTGCACTCTCGAAGTAGACTCATTTGGATACTTTGTCAGCAAGGCCAAGACCCGAGTCTTCAGGGACACCACGGAGCCTCAGTGGAACGAAGTCAGTCGCAAAGACATCTTTTTTTCTTTTCTTATGTTTTTAACTGTGCTGTTTTCATCTTCATTGTTCTCCTTGTTTACATCCGTGTCACTGCACAGGAGTTTGAGATTGAGTTGGAGGGCTCCCAGTACCTTCGGATCCTGTGCTACGAGAAGTGTTACGACAAAAGCATGCTGAACAAAGACGACAATGAGATTGTGGACAAGATTATGGGCAAAGGGCAAGTCCAGGTAGGAGACCGGCTGTAAAATAGACCATGCACAAAGAGAGACATCTGTGTCCTCTTGGGGGGAGATTTTCCACCATATGACTCATTTTAATTAGCTGTCTAGCTTCTGCACACAATTGTATGGTTTGTAGTGGTTACCTCTAATGGCTGGTTGGATTAATAGTGTGAAGGAGAGTTTATTTAAGGGGGGTTCCCCCTGTCTTATTGTGAGAAACGTCTCCATAAAACTCCCTTTCAGTCTCGTTAACTAGATACGGCCTCCACAGTGGAATCTGCGGTTTCTTGGTATTGAGGCGAAATGCCGTTCTCCACTCGCTGTTTAGTTTTTGCTGAAAAGCCTACAGAGGTGTCACATTTCCATTTTTTCCAGAACGTCTTCAAAAAAATCTATTTGGTCAAGTGAAGCTTGACTCCTGTCAGTTTTCTGCAAATTGCAGCTGTTGTAGTTTCCTCCTCTGCTGCCCTGTAATCGATCAAACTTCACATTATGAAAGTGGGTCAACTCGGAGGGCTCTTAAACGCCGTTATCTTCAATTCATGCCCTCATGTTTCTCTCAAGTGGTGGGTGTCTATGCCAGAGGTGAGTTTATGGCAGGTTATTTATAATCCTGCTTTTGACTCTGGACTAAGCAGGTAAAGTTTTGTTTGTGGCTGCTGCATGCAGCATAATACTCTTCCTTGATGCAAAGCATCTGTTACAAGTTGCATCAGGAATAAACAGGAATACAAATCCTCCCTCCTCTGATATCAGGAAAGTGGGACACACATCAGTCACGTTTGTAAAGTTGGATTTTTAGGGGAGGAATGTGTCTCAAAAATATCTTATAAATCTTATAAATCTTATGTGAATGAGCGGATATGTTTCTCCTCAGACCCAAGTTCCCGCAGTCTCTTAAAGGGGCTTTGAAGTTTGTTGTTTGTTACAGCATTTCCTGTTTGTCACTAGATCTTTCCATTCTCTTTCATTTTGATGCTTTACGTCCTTCAGTGTTGGCTTTGAAAGCAAAACACCCTGCCTGAAATGGCATCTTTTTGTGCCTTATCGACAGCTTCAATATCAGGCAGTGGGTAGTTAAACTTTTAAGACTGAGATTTTAGTGCTGGTTTAAGAGACAATGGGATACAATAGAAGCTACATCAGCTCATTAGTTCTGCAACATTGTGACTTAACTATAAAAACCTGAGGCGGATGCTGCTGCTGCTGAAACGTTACTGGGAACATCGATTTCAAGCCAACATCAGGCAGAACCCTCCCCTCTCCCCCCGCAGAAAACAAACAAATACACCACATGCTTTTGCTGGGGGGGGTGGAGGTTTAGTAAGGCGGATAGAATGGCATGTTCTGTCCCAGACGCGTGGGGGGTGGGAATACTGTGAATATGTTATACATAGTAGGTTTGTGGGTGAACCTGTCAACAGTGCATCCACTGAATGCAAAGGCCCTGATCCTGAGCACAACACTGCTGCTTTAGTCTCTGAATAAAACAACATATGTGTCCTAAAACAGGAGGATTTATGGTCTTACTGCTTATTAGTTGGTTTCTTGTCATTCTTTAAATGTTCATGAATGCTTCAGACATGGTGGCACTTGTGTTAGACTCTGATATCATATGTTTGTTACAGCCACGAAGGAGTCCTGCAGAGCCCACAGATAGAGAGCAGGACCTGAGCTGTTTGCTTTCCTGAAGCTGGGTTGAGAAGGAGCCTTCAGTGTTTTGCTTTGCTCTCTGGAGACCCTGTGATTTATTTAAAAAGCTTGTGGAATACTGACTGACCGTAAAAGGGCATATCGAGAGGGAAGTTTTTCTTTCTTTTTTCTTTTTTTTTAATCCGCTGTGGTTACTTTGTTGAGAAAGTCGATCGCCTCTATCGTCAGAAGATCGTGGTACGATTCGAGCCAGAGATTTTGTTATGATAGTACCAAGAAAGCATTTTTTGATACAGACTTGTAAGGAGGTGCATTATGTGGGATTTCCGCCAGTGTACACGCACACGTTAACTGTGGGAATTAAGGTGACTTGATTGAATTGCTTTATTTCCATTTGGGCTGACATCCCCTCCAACCAATGGCACTTAGTTTTAAAAGCTCCAATACATGGATGTTTTTGAAATTATAAACTTTTCAGGGTCAGATTTTTCTTTTTTCTGATTTTTGCTAGTGTGATTCAGCCAAAGTAAAACAGGACACCAACTCCTGCACTGGTTAAGAGTGCAGACACTCGCTTGGCCTCTAAACCATCCTCTACCTCATGCACTGTGCAAGTTTGCCCTTTATGTGTCAGCTGTAACTTGCAATACTCGTCTTCAGAGGGCCACTTATGTAACCGGGTAGGCTGAGCGGCAGAAACGCATCATATCGCCCTGCTTCACCAGTCCTTTCATCTGATAACACTTGTGCAGCCCATCTCAGCCTCCTCTGGGCTCACCTTGTTTGGGTTTAATTACTTGGCTTATCTGAGGAGGAATTTGTCACCAGCTCCCAGCTCCATATGACTACATTAGTCGGTCTCCATTTCCCACCTATCAGGGCTTTAACCCCTTAGCAGTCGGACGTACCGCCCACGGGACATTGGATGGTTTAGGGGACTACTTGGACTGCTAAGGGGTTAATTGAGGAAATGGGATCCTACTGCAGGTATTGTGCTTCCCAAGACTGTAGTTGGACATCTTCAATCATTTTGCACAAGCACAAGTTTTCAAAGATGAGTTGAAAACAACAGGAAGTTGGTTATTTGAGGCTTGAAGTTACTTTAAAATGCTGATTTCTGTGAGGCTTCCTTCACAATCACATTAGCATGCTGACATGATGACAGTTTTATTGGATTAAATGGGACTTACACCTACTATCAATACTTTGATGCAAATTAGCATCGCAAGTCACAGGATTTTCTCAAGTCTGTGTCACATTTTTAAAAATATCAAACCGAGGTTGATGTTGTTTCGAGTCTGTCACTAAAGCGATCCCATCCAACACCATGTGGTGCTGCACTGAACCGCCTCCTCCTCAGTGTTCTTTCTATAGAAGAGCTTCGTGTTCTCTCAAGAGTCATGTAACAGCTCTAATAATCTCCTCACTACTTCAGCCCTCTCCCTCCCCACTTGTTCCCATCATCCCTTCAGCACCGCACAACGCTGGGGGTTGTTGTTATTGGTTTGAGCGCGTGGCAGCCCCTCATCTCGACACAGACGACGCAGAGTGCGGCGTTGTCAAGCCGCGAAAAGCAATAACCTGATAGTTTTGAGCAGTCTCCCGGAGATAATGGGAGCCAGAGAAGTTGGGCATTAGGTACAGAAGGAGAGCAGTGATGATGTTGTTTGTTCCCGGCAGCTCTCGCCTCCCTCTCCGAAGCCGCGGAGCCGGACAGGGGTGCACACACATTAGGCCGGCATTACTGTAAAGCTCCGGGTGCAAAGGGGTTGTAAAGTTTGAGGTGAGCATCCACGTGCACTCAAGTTCCCACTTAGGAGCCTGAGGTCTTTCATCACGATGAAGCATTAGATGCAAAGGTTGAGGGGTTTATTGGTCAAAGTGCCATTGTTTGGGATAGTAGCCGGCTGATCGTAGCAGTAAAACTTCTAGACCGGTGGAAATGTGCCAGTGTAGAAAGCTCAGGCCCCGAGCTCTGATCTCATCTCTCAAGTACTGCATCAAACTTGATGCCAACATAAAGCTCTCATTAGAATGAAATACAGCCTGGTGAGTGTATTTAGAAGTATGCACACTATGATGTAAACAGTGAAGCAAGCGTAGGGAGATTTTTCCTTTTTTCATTTCTTATTATTATGGGGGGTAAATTCTACATTCTGGTGCTGCTTAGCATGTTATTAACACTCCCAGGAATAAAATTAGGTTCTCCTTTTATTTGTTTTTATGGGAATTGGGCCTCGGACTCTTCTAGGCTTTTTTCTCCTAGAATGCATGTTTTTTCCAACACATCTTCCCTCTGGGCGATGCAAGGTGGCGGTATTTCATGCAATGTTAGTTTTTAACTCAAAGCTCAGTGGTTTTAATGAAGGTGTGTGTTTCCATGTGTCAGTGTGTAGATATTAATATTAATTAGTGTCTAATAGATGGTGTCATCTATTTTATTGTTGTGCCCTGTCCTTTAGGGCTGCGATTTGTCATGTTTCCACCATGCACACAGCCCCTGTGGCTATACACATCCACACACACACTGCTGTCATCAACGCTAACAGATGGGACTCCACTGTGTGTGTTCAGCCCCCCTGGGGGGAAAACCACAGACTCACATACACACACACAGCTGGGTGACAGGCTAATACATTGTAAACGATATCAATAACTTCAGCCGGCTACATTACCTGACATTTATTAGCTTATACCTCCTTTGTCTGGCCTGGTGTTGTATGTTGGGATGGGGAGTGTGGATGTTCACTGCTTAACAAAGATTGTCCCAGTGCTCATTTGCTCTCTTACTCCTAAGCCTACTTATTTTATTATGTTTCTTCCCTTTGCAGTTTTTAAGCCATGTTTTTTAATGAGTCTCATATCTCATGGTCTCTGTGTTTGAGCATATGGCACTTTTTTTTTTATTGATGGGCCCCAATTAAGCCGACTTCCTCATCAGACGATCCTTGATCAGTGGAGCTGATAGCAGCTTTTTGATGGATTTTTATTTTTTCCCTGTCATCTTTCCGCAAAGAAGCTCCTCCGTCACAGCCCTCACTTAGACAGCCTTTGTTCCCTCTTAAAACATTCACTCCCTGCCACTTGGGATATGCATGCCCTAAATAACTACACGCACTCTCAGATCATGCGAATGTGCAGATACCCCCGTTTTTTCCCTATCTATCTTCTCTCTGGGAGTAGAATAGGAAAAACCCCAGACCTGCCAAATTTAGTTTGAGTGTATGTTACAAAAAAATGGTCACATTTGATCACCGTTTTTCATCAAGCTTGATGCTTTTGTTGGGTTTTTCTTGGACAGTCTGACTAGAAAAAAAGCAAAAATAAGGATTGTAATGTTGGACTGCTCTCAT